GGGTGCAGGAGAGAAGGGAGCGGAAGCAGAAGAGTAAAACAGAGGAAGGGCCCAGTTTCTTCTGGCTCCAGATTCTCCACGGACAACTTCTCCACTTTTCCTGGACAGACCCCCTTTTCATCTTTCACATTTCCATTGATGGTGAAACCATTCTAATCCCACATCCCCCATCCCAGCCAGCTCCCACACTGCATCGTCACAGGCTGTCCTGGTCAGACTTGACCCATCAGTCCCCTGACACAATGCCCGAAAACATTCTTGCAAGGAGGTACAGTATGCTTGGAGAGGCTCAGCTCAGGCCAGGAGGTTATAAAATCATTCTTAATGGCCTGGTAGGAAGGAGGCAGTTGAAAGATAATCAGCAGTTCAAGCTCACCAGTTGCTCCTCAGAAACCTTATACAGGGTCGCAATGGGTCGGAACTGAATTGAAGGCATTTAACAACATGGCAAGGAAAGCCCAAATAACTCTGAACTGTGGCTGGGTGAAGGAGATATGAAGGTTCTCCTTCACCCAGCCACAATTCAGAGTTATTTGGGCTTTGCCTCTGGTTGTGGGAAATGTAGCCCCCTGTCCCTCAAGAGTGGACAAAGTCCAGAAATGAGAACTAGTATCTGCATTACCACCTACCCACCACTCAAATAGGGAGCCAGGTCTGACCCATGGAGGTCCAGTACCTACAGAGTACAAAGGCACCTTACCCAGGTCGGAAAGAAAAACACAGAGCAGATGTCTGACTGTCCCGGGGAGGGACAGGTGCATCCCTCATCTCGAACTCAGTATTTGTAGACTGTTCTCCCCAATACTCTATGTGTGCCTTGATATGCTTCCCTGTAACATGGTGTTCCAATGTGGTACTGCGGGCTAATGCTCTGGACTGCAGGGTTGGTTTGAATTGCAAGGAAACCCTATACAGGTTGCTATGAGTTGGAACAGACTCAACGGCACTTAACAACAAAAACAAAATGGGGATAGGTGATGTTGTGGGCTACTAAAAGGAAGGTCAATGGGTCAAACCCACCATCTGCTCCTTAAGGAAAAGATGAAGCTGTCTGGTCCTGTAAAGATTCATGGTCACAGAAACCCTATACAGGTTGGAATCAATTCACTGACAAGGCTCCAGGCCACCAGGTTACTGAACTGACACCAAAAACGGCTGTTGACTTGGTCAAGCGTAGATCAATTTAATGATTAAACCCAATCTGCAGTTTGAATTTAGTCTCCTCACCAACCAGAATGACCAGTAAGACCCAAAGTTGCCAAGGAAAGGGATTGGAATATGTTGGCGGGAAAAGAAGGGGAAGAGCTCCTCCCTTCAAGTCCCCAGACCTCGACTACTTCTCCTTCCCCTACTTCCACCTGTTTACACAATTTTTTGTGTGCGTGTGTGTGTGTGTGTGTGTGTGTACAAAAACTCTAGATTAAAGTAAATGGAGTTGAGAGAAAAGAACCACCTGGCATTAGGAATCAGAGAGATCTGAGTCTCCTAAGCTCAGCTCTGTCACTGCCTAACTGCGTGTTTGGGCAAGGGCCTTAACCCCTCTGTGCCTCAGTCTCCTCATCTGTAAAATGGAAGAGATGGCACCTTACTTTGCAGAATTGAATTGCATCTGAAAAGAGACTGGGTAAAGCACACCGTAGGAGCTTGTTGTCGCTGCTGTAAGTGCTGTTGAGTCGGTTCCAACCCATAGCAATCCTGTATAGGGTTTCCAAGGAACAACTGGTAGGTTTGAACCACTGACCTTGTGGTTAATTAGCAGTCCAGTGCCCTACAGTAACAACCAATAGAAATTCCTATGCTGGCTTCTGTACATTTTGTTTCACAGGGCATTTGTCAGAATTTGCTAATGCCCAGGGGCTCTTCTGCAGTCGATTGTAAAGGACCTTCCCTTTCTTTGACGGTTCCTTATTGTGTGCAATAGCATACTATGCAGTGCACACAATAAATGTTATCTGAACCATGATTGGAAGGCCACTACATGTCAGAGGGAAAAATGAAGGACTTTGGAGCTAAATAAGCCTGGATTTCAGGCCTGGTTCTGCCATATGGGTGATTCCTATGAACTTGGAGAAGTCATTTTACCTCTCTGAGCCTGTTTCCTCATATGCAAAATGGGGATGATAACCCCTACCTTGCGAGACAATTGAAAGAATGCAATGAATTCAACACCTACATACTGGATATGCATTATGTATTAGCCAGTGCTTCAGTTGCTGAATATAGAGCAGAGAACAAGACAGACAAAATCCTACCTGAGGGAGACAGGCACTACACATACAGCAGAGTATCTGGTACTATGTGCTAAGGAGAAATTCTTATAGGAGGTGGAGAGTGTTGGGAGCAATGGTAGAAATCGAATTGGAGCAGAGACGTGAAGGGAGGGGATAAAGCTATGTGGAAATCTGGAGGAAGAATATTCCAGGCAGCGGGACCAGCAAGTGCAGGGGCCTTAAGGAGACACGTGCTTGGCGTGTAAACGCAGTCACATATGCAAGAAGCCTGGCACGGAAGACAGGTGCTTGGCAAATGCCAGTTCTCTATTTCAAGTCCCGTAGAACAAACCCCACGCATGTGTCCTTTTCCTGAGAATGAAAGCACAAGGATTTCTACAGGGCAAGACTGAGCCAAATATTCTTTCAGCCTAAGACTCAGGCAACAGTCAAGCTCCACTAGCAGTTTTAAAGCCCCCTCTGGGCATCAGGCCCTGTTCAGGGAGACCAGGGATGTAAGAGGATCAAGACAGGGCTCTGTCCTAGAGGAGATCCAAGTTGAGTTATAAAGATGGTGACAACAGTGGATGTGGTCAGATGGATAAGCATAGACTTAGAAGTTACTCAAGGGCAGAGTGGAGAATAGGATGGTGTGTGAATGGTCAAGGAAGGCTTCTCAGGGGAGGTGACAGCAGAGCTGGACTTTCAGGGATAGTCTATACAGGAAAGGATATTCCAGGTGTGGGGAACAGCAGGTGCTGAGCACAGAGGAGAAAAAAGCATCACATTATATATGAGAAACTAATTACAGATGGGGCTTAAGAATTGCAGTTCTGTCCCCTTCTTGAAACACAATGCCATCCTCAAACCCCGGTGGAGAATTTGAATTTCCCAAACTTGGTTTCTACAACATGTGACGGATGTTAAGCCAGACTCCCAGTCCAGGGTGCCCAGGCCACAGAGTGAGGTCCAGGTGGGATGGAGACTGAATAAATCTCCCCTTATATTTAGCTCACTTGGTGTGTGCCTGTCCCTGCATCCACCCTCAAGGCTGACCTACAGGTGGCAGAATGGCTTTTTTTTTTTTTTTTTTTTACTAGAGCAGTATAAACATTTCTTAATGAAGAAATCCTCCAAAGGGGCCCATGTTTCAGCCCAGTGTCTTTGTGACTGAGTCAGTGGGTGGGTCCTCCCAATTCAGAAGGCAATAGCTTTGTGCAGCCCAGGGTTTGAATTCTACCTCTGCCACTGACCAGCTGGAGACCCTCTGCTATAATAACTTCACCTTGCTGAGAATCCGAGGTTAAAACTGTCCAGAGGTTCAAACAGAAGGAGTTGGCCCCTCTTCCACAAACTGGCCTTGGGATCTAGGATTTAGCACTTGTTTACTTCAATGCCCTCCGAGGGAAGAAAAATATTTTTTTTTGTAACTACATACAACTCCTAGGAGGGGAGACTAAGCTGGAGTGTGCCAGCAGAGAGAGGGTGCTATGTTGTCTCTTCTCTCCTCCTAAAACCCACCTCCCTTAGAACAGAGATGGAGAACTCAGTCCCTCTCCTAAAACCTCCAGCTAAATTTGCCCCCTAGCTGACTTGCTTACCCACTGAGCTGGGCCTTTGTACTTTAAACAAACACTTCACTCACCTTCTGCCCAAAGGATGCTACAAATGCCCAGCCAGAAGTCAAAATACTTATCCTGAAGACTGATGTGGGGGAGGAGGGGAGAGAGGAGGAAGATGAGCAGGCACACACAGATGCCAATGTAGTCTCTCCTATAGCCCTGTGACCTTGGGTAAGTCATTCCCCCTCTGAGCCCCAATTTCTTCATTTGCAAAATGGAGATAGGAATCTTTATCCCTGAAGCTTCTTTGCATACCACGCTGGGGTATACAAAGCACGCAGCACAGAGCTGATCTGTTCTCGAATTACTAGGTATTTTCTATTAAGGCCTCCCCACACCATCCCCTAAGGAGCTCTGGTAGCATAGTGGTTACGAATCAGGCTGTGAACAGCAAGGTCAGCAGTTCGAAACCAGCTGCTCCGCGGGAGAAAGATGAGGCCTTCTGCTCCCGTAAAGATTTACAGCTATGAGTCTGAACCGACTCCACCGCACATAACCACCACCACTCCCATCCCATCCCATCCCCCGTTCTCCCTTCTGTCCGACCCCATTTGAGGTGGCCTTAACCAGAGGGCGATGCTGCCGCCACTCCAAGGGGCTGGAGAGCCCCCAGTGGAGCTGACATCAGAGGGGGGCGCAGCCAGAGTGCGCGGGGTGCGCGTGGGAACGCGGCCAAGCAAGGGAGCATGTGCCGCGGGGGCTCCTGGCGGCTGGAAACTGGGGTCCTCTGCGAGCACCCCTCACTCTCAGCAGCTGTAGTCTAGGTACAACGGGCCTTTCTGACCGTCGGAAGTCGGAGCCAGCCAGAATCTAGTCACCACCCCCTCCCTGGAGCGCCCGGGGCTCCTTCCTCAGAGCCCTCGGGCTGGAACAAAGGCGAGGGGGCGCGCGGCATCGCCCCATCGGCCCCTTCGCGCATCTAGCCAAAGCTAGGAGAATGAGGACGGGGGTCCCCAAGGTAACCAGTACGCGGTACCCGCCCTCCTGGAGCTCACTGCCCCGCCGCGGGGCGCGCGCGGAGCCGGGGTACGAGTGGCACCGGAGATTCCAGCCCGCAGCTCACCGAGCGGTCCAAGGAGGGGCGGGCTTTCTCCAAGAGTCACCAACGGACCCCCGGGGAAGAGGAGAACCCTAGAATCTGCATCCCGGGTAGGGGTCCCCAGCGTACCTGGCAAGGTCCTATGCACCGTGTTGCCCATCGCTACGTATGGGCGCGGCGTTGGCGGCGGCGCGCTCGCGGGGACTAATTGAGCGACGGACCCGGGACTAGGGCCGGTGTCCGGCTTCGGGGCATCGTCGCTGCTCTGGCGAGCCGGCGGGCTGTCTCCCGGAGCTAGGCAATGGGGCGGCGGCAGGAGGAGGCGGAGCCACCGGCTGGGGCCCGCCGGCTCCGCCCCCGCCGCCCGCAGCTTCCAACTGTGCAGGGGCGGGGCCGCGGCCGCGGCATCTTTTGAAAGTTTGCACCGGACGACTGGAGGAGAACGCGGAGCTGCACCGCCCTCGCAACTCCAGCTCCCGGGCCTGGAAGGCGCGCAGGGCAGCTGGCTGCCCTCAAGGTGCCAGGCTTGCCAACCTGCTCACCGTGCACTCATTTATTCAGATAATCTGGGTAGGCCTTCTGTGTGTCAGGTCCTCTTTCAGGAACTGGGCCGCTGAGCGCCAAGTCTCAGTCCCTTCGGAGCTCAATTGGAAGGCAGGGACCAGAAGGTTGCTTCAGACCAGACCGTGTAAAGGGCTTGAAGCCTGTACTGCTATGTTGCCTGGGGTGGCAGTGGAATCTGCTCTACCCCAGAGACCACAGGCCTAGGGGTTAGGCCAATACCCAATGGTTGGGAGGATGGCATTGCTATCCATTCATTTATTCACTCGTTCACTACAATACTGACTGAGCATGTCCTATGACCCTGGTACTGTTGATGCAGTAATCAAGGGATCAGACAACGTCTTCAGCTCCTGGAGTTCTGTAGTAGTGGTGAAGACAGAATATAATGCTCAAAGTCACAAAATTAAACAAGAGAGTGAGACTTTGTTTGGGGGGCGGAGGGTGTGGGAGAACCTTGGGGCATCAGATGAACAGGAAGGAATCAGTCATGGAAAGAGCTGGAATGCTCATCGCAGAAGCAGTTAGCACAAATTTCTCATTCATTTGTTTACCCACTCACTGCTTTCTTTCTGTGGGCGAAAGGGGAGGTGTTTGCTCCCGTCTGACCCTAAGAGCCAGAATTGACTCCATGGTAGTGAGTGTATTCGAACTGCTGACCTTGTGGTTTGCAGCCCAACTTGTAACCCACTAGGATACCAGAGTTATTCTTCATTCATTTACTTCACGGGCTTGTGGGAGATACCTAGACACACTCTGTGCAGAGTGAAGCCTGCTAACCCCTGTACTCACTGGGTTCCATTTTACAGATGGGAACATGGAGGCTCAGGAGGTGCAATGGCTGGCTCCAAAAAACCCAACTTCAGATTGGTTGTTGTTCCTGAGTCTACTTTGCATGCTCATGTATGTCTCAAGACCTAATAAAATATGTATTACTACTACTATTTTTGGAGTCCTGGGTGGTGCTGTGAGCTAATGCGTTGGACTGCAAAGTCGTTTGAACCACAAAGGTTTGTGGTTCAAGCTTACCAGCCGCTCCTTGGAAACCCTATACGGGGTTGCTATGAGTTGGAAACAACTCGACGGCACTTAACAACAACAACTCCTATTTTACAGATGGGCAAACTAAGACTCAGAGAATGGAAAAGTGGTGCCCAAGATCTTCCAACAGGTAAGAGGCAAGGCTGACCTGGAGCTGGGGAGTATATCTAGGAGAAAGTAGCCTGGGTTGATTTCTCTGAGATCTTCTGCTTGTACTGCCCATCTCATCCCAGAGAGTTCTCACTCGTAAGATCAGCAAAAAACCTACACATACAGAAAGACTTTGCTATTCCGTACCCCACCCTGACTTATCACATTTGTCTGAAAATAAGGCTGCCCTGTATTTGAGTTCTTACTATTTCTCATACTGAATATCCTCTCCCAGTTAATTTTTAACAAAGTCCTGTTTAACTCAATACACCCTCAATCTATGTGAGTGTGGGATGCATATAGAGGTCAGCATTATTTTTAAAAGGAGTGGAGGGAATTTTACTCTGATAAAGCAAAGTAAACGGAACTTTGTGGCTACAAGGGTAGGAGGTTGTTGCAAATAGAAATTTTAAAAGCCACGTTCGTAACACCCTAGTAAGTGGCCATGCTGTGAAGACCACAAATGTACACCTGTGGCATGTGAGGTACTAACTGTCCTATTTTTTCCTGCAGGTGCTCCCTGAGGTGGGGGTACTGTCCAGTTGAACTCAAAAGGGCCGTGTCTCAAGCATCTCTGTCTCTATGACTAAGATGTGCTTCAGAAAACTAAAAAAAAAAACAGTCCTCCTCACACAACCCATATAATGGTAACACTGGCTCTGAAAAGCTTTCAGGTCAAAGGCTCTGAAACTACCATCAAGTCAATTCCAATCCTATAGTGAGCCTATGGGAAAGAGTAGGACTGCTCCTGAGGGTTTCTGAAATTGTAAATCTTTATGGAAGCAGGCTGCCCTCATCTTTCTTCCATGGAGCAGCTGGTGGGTTTAACTACTGACCTTGCAGTTAGCAGCCCAATGCTTAGTCCACTGACCACCATGGCTTCTGTGTCAAAGCCATACACATTCATCTATGAATCCCCAGTGCCCAGCATCAAACTGGCATACACAGGTACTTGAGTGCAGATATGCACTGAGCTGGAGAAGACAGGAAAGAAGAAAGGAAGGAAGAAAAGAAGGGGTAGGAAAGGATTATGATCAGAGAATGAGTTTTAGCTGGTAGTAGTCTTGAAGGAGCTGTGGTAGCATTTGTTGTTGTTGTTGTTATGTATCATCGAGTTGGTACTGACCCATAGCAACCCTATGCACAGCAGAATGAAACATTGCCCAATCCTGGGCCAACCTCACTACTGTTGCCACACTTGAGTCCATCGATGCTGCCACTTGGCCAATCCTTCTCATTGGGGGTGGTTATGAATTGGGCTGTGAACCTCAGGGTCAGCAGTTCGAAACTACCAGCTGTTCTGTGGGAGAAAGATGAGGATTTCTGCTCCCATAAAGAAAAAGAGGTAGACCCCCAACAAGATGGATCAGCCAGGTGGCATCTTTGATGGCGTCAAGTGTGGCAGCGGTGGTGGGGTTAGCCCAGGATCGGACATTGTTTCGTTCTCTATGCATGGGGTCGCTATGAGTTGGTTCCGACTCGATGGCACCTGACAACAACAACAGCAACAAAGATTTACAGCCTCGGAAACCCAGTACAGGGTCACTATGAGTCGGAACCTACTCCACAGCACATAACAACAATAACAATCTTGAATCCTGGTGTGACACTGTAGGATAACACTAGATTGCTAACCATAAGGTCAATGATTCAAATCCACCAGATGCTCCTCAGAAACCCTGTACAAGGCCGCTATGAGTCAGAACTGACTCCGGGGCATTTAACAACGTGATCAATAGTCTTCTTATATGAGGTGATGGTTGCTGTGTGCCATTGAGGCTGTTTGGACTCATAGCAGCCCCATGTGGCAGAGGAATTTTCTAAACTGTAATCTTTACAGGGAATCTTGGTGTGGTGCTGTGGATTAATGCGCCAGACTGCAAAGCCGTTTGCACTGCAAGGTTGGTGGTTCAAGCTTACCAGTTGCTCCTCGTAAACTCTATATAGCGTTGCTGTGGGTCAGAATCAACTTGACAGCACTTATCAACAACAACAAATCTTAATTAAAATCTTGATTAAAAGTGCTTAGTTGCTAACTGGGAGATCGCAGCAGTTTGCACCCAGCAGTCGCTCCCCAGGAGACAGATGTAGTGGTCTGCTTCCATAAGATTTACAACCTTAGAAACCTTCTGGGGTAGTTCTACTCTGTCCTATACGGCTACTGATTCACAGTGAATCAACTTGACAGCAGTTGAGTTTGTGTTTGGAAATCTTTATGGGAGCAGATCTCCAGATCTTTCTCCCATTGGGTAGGTTAGAACCACCAACTTTAGTAGCTAAACAGTTGTGCTACCAGGGGAGGGACAAAAACAAAACACTCAGGGATGCATTAGTAGAAGTATAGTCTCAAGAACACAGGAGAGGCTTGATGCTGATTAGACTGTCCTAGAAGTCCATTTGATCCTGGGCACTACACTGAAGAAGGAAATCAAAGCTGCTCCATGAAGTTGGACAGGTGGCTTTGAGAGAGAAGGGGACTCTTGACACAGGTAAAGTTATGTGATACCCTGGGAAGGAGGGGCTTCCTGCATCACATGTCCCTAAGACATCTTTCAGTCTAGTGATCCTCTGAGTCCCTGCAACCCTCATGAAGCCACGTGTGGTTCAAACTCCTGTAGCTTATTGGCCCTGCATCTCCTGGTGCTGGAAGAACTGCAGTCTCCCAGCTGATGCTATGAGTGTACTAAGCTGCTTTCCAGGAGCATGGCCCCCCAACCTTCACCCTTTCCCCACCAGCTCCCAATCAGGGCTGGTTGGGACACCGTCAAGCCTCTGCATAGGAATATTATGGAGACCTGGGTCCCAGGCACAGTAGCTGACACTAAAGGGAACCCCCGCTACCTCTTGGAGGAGCGCTGGTGCAGTGACTAAGCACTGGACTGCTAATATAAAGGTTGGTGGTTTGAACCCACTAGTTGCTCCATGGGAGAAAGACAAGGCTGCCTACTTCCATAAAGATTTAAAATCTTGAAAACCCCAGGGAGTTCTACCCTGTCCTATGGGGTTTCTATACATTAAAACCAACTCGACAGCAGTGGCTGGGTTTGCTTACATCTGAGTGTGCTCCCCAAATACTTCCATCTTGCCACACCAAAGGAAATTGGTTTTATCATACTCATTTCCAAAAGAGGACACCGAGCATCCAAGAGGTAAGGTCATCCAAGCCTTAGGCTTCTTGGCTGCTGAGTGGAAGAGTCAGGATAGGAACCTAGGCATATTTATCTCCCTACCTCATATTCTAAAGTGTTCCCCCCAAAGTTAAGAAAAACAGCTCTGCTTTCTGCCAGGCCCTAGAGTTAGAGAGGGATGAGCAGGGTCTCAGCACCAGGCCTTGGGGACACTGAAGGAGCCCTAGGGCATAACCACTCCTGGACTTGACTTTTATATACTGCCCACAGCCACATGCAGAATCATGCAGACTGCCACCACACCTGGCACTAGGACTGCTGTTGGCTTGCAGGGGCTCCTGGGTGGGGTTGTTGCTCTTGGTTGTGTAGTCTTGGCAGAGTCTTCCAGGGCAGTG